ACATGTTTTTTTTTTTCTTTTTTTTTTCCTTTTTGGTAATTACTCCGAACCTCATCAGTAATTTTTCGAAATTATCCATCATTATTATGTTTTCAATTCGTTTGTGTTTTTTTACTTTTATATAGTTTGGCTAAAACAACTAACACATTGTGTCGATTAACCTATTCGTTTTACAAGACATAAATTCTCCTAAAATTTTGCAGACAAATCACTCGAGATCACACATTGCTGGCATCACTACCAACAACGAGAGCACTCAAATCGCCTCCCGATGGCTAAGCCATTGGATGGAACAATGCGCACGGGACCAAAACAACCCCCACATTGCGCCCTCCCACGATAAGATCCTGGAAGTTGACACGTGGAATCCCGGCCACAAGGGTATCCAAAATAACCAAAGTACCAACACCTCCCACTATTTCTCTGCATGGAATGACACATACAAACCGAACCCTATCCCTTCCCCCGAGAACACATCCTCGTCCAATTGTGGGGACCACCCAAAGGCTTCTAGAAGCTTGTTCGGGGATTACCCAAGCTACATGGCCAACACTCAGTGTTCCCAGGCTAAGGTCAGGTCTCGTAGTGCGCCAAAGCAGAGGATGCGACTAAGTTCAGAGTATTCGGACACAGTCTCGGAAAGGGGTTCTTTCTCTGTGGCGGGGCCCAGGGGAAGTGGTTATCGATACTCGGGTCGAGTTAGGAGGCCTGGAACTCCTCTTCGGCCGTAGGATTTAGGAGTTGGGCTTGTTTTCGTGTGTGGTTGTATAAATTTTTCATTTGGTATNTGTATGTGTGTTTTGTTTTGTTTTGCAATTGCGATGTGTGGGAGAATGGTTGAAGGTAAGTTGATGATGAGTAGCCGTTAGTATGATTTTGTGGGTATGTTGTATGGGGAAATTCTCAAAGCATAATAATATAATAATGAAATGTGTGTAAATTGAGCTGTGTGTAAGATTGTCTGTGTGCTACGAAAACCCAATTAGTTAAACTCTGCAAGTATTGATGAGAGGATGTGGAGAGAATCTACGGGGACTAGCTGTTAGCACCAATTGATGGGGGCAATATCATATCTTTCTTTTTTTTTTTCTTTGTTTTGTTGCTTGGTGAAATAGCTTCATGTAAAGGTGGATGTTGATTATCAAAGTAAAACCAGATTTTTTTTTTCTTTTTCTTTTTTGAAGTGAGTGTTTGTATATGAAAAAACTTAATTCATACTCAAAATTTAGTTCAATTTTAACTTCACCCCACTATCTTCAATATTATTAATATAATTGAAGAATATCAACTAATAATTTTTACACATCACATCAATTTCAATTTGCTATTTATCCACTCACATAATTTTAACTAACTATCTCTTCACATCAAGTCTCATACTTTTACATCAAATCACTTTAATTATTTTATTTTAAATATTATCTTAATACAAAATTAAAATTTCAATGATAACTAACCATGTCATTTTTTAAGAAAATTAACTATGATTAATCAAAAATATTCATTTTAAACGAAAATATTTATATACAAATACGCCCTGTCAGTTTTATGCCCATACAAATGTTTTTATATGAGATGTAAACTATTATTTGTCTGATGAGAAACTGACCTAAAATACTTAAGTGGAAAGCAGGTCGAATCCTAACCAAGATCTCCAATAATTAATTTATCTTAAATAGTGTGAGTTGGAGCCCCACCATAACTATCCTCAGTAACTAATTTATCCCAAATGGTTTACGACGATGTGTCACCTCACACCAGTCACCAACGCAATCCATTTACGCAATGATTTTTTTTTTCTTCAATTATGAGTTCACGGGTTGCCTTTTCATCTTTTGTCAAATTACCTTTTAAGGCTTATATTCAATGATAAGAAGCCATAACAGATCTCCTATTTCTTACATTTGCTGTTCCTAGATTTATGGTAGTTAGTTTTGTTTGAATTAGTCTACAATAGCTTTATTGTTGTAACAAAAGAGATTTCTCAGCCTATAGTTTTGGCTGTATTGTGTATTTAAACACCATCTCAATCAATAGGAAAGCATCAGAAAAATATTCACAAACAGGAGAACCCTTATGCTTTCTCAATCTTATCTTTTCTTAATTATCTATTATGGTATCTAGAGTCTAACTCCTACGAGATTCAGGTTCTTATCCCAGACCTTGTTTTTTTTTTTCTTTTTTTTTCTGCAACCAACCCTCCCCACCATCTCCGATCAATTTTTTTTTTTACAATGGCTAATGGAAACAATCTAGTTCTGCTTCCAAACACTGAACAACCAAATCTCCCTCTCACCTTAATTACGATCCATAATTCTATCAAACTTACCTCCACAAACTATCTCTCGTGGAAAACACAGATTGAATCCATTCTCATTGGTTATGATTTACACAAATTCATTGATGGCTCCTTTCCCTCTCCCCCTGCCACGACCACTATCAACAATGTCGTTTCCCCCAATCCTGCATATCAGACGTGGCTACGGCAAGACAAACTCTTGTTTGGAGCTCTTGTTGGCACCATCTCAACCAATCTTGTGCCGCTCATCACACACTCCTCAACATCTCACGATGCTTGAAAGACACTCGCCAACACCTACGCTCGTCCCTCTCGTGGCCATATCAAACAGCTCAAAGAAAACCTGAAAAGCATCTCCAAAGGGTCACAATCTGTTACTGATTATATGCAAGCCATCAAAACCAAAGCTGATGAACTTGCCACACTCGGGAAACCGCTTGATCATGAAGATCTAATTGAGAAAGTCTTGGACGGTCTTGAGGACACCTACCAATCAGTCATTGATGCAGTCAACAACCGAGACACCCCGATCACCTTTGATGAACTCCATGAGAAGCTCATTCACAAGGAGCTCTCCCTGCGCAATATCTCAACCTCCCCAGCCTTACCAGCTTCTGCCCACCTCACAAATACCCGCTCCAACCCACGCCACACAACCCACCATCCATCCTGGCCAGCCACAATTCCATCACCGCACCCAGCTCCTAACCCATACCACCGATCTGCTCCCAAACCCAACCGTCCCTTTTTAGGCAAATGCCAGTGGTGCCGGACTCAAGGCCATGTCGTCTCTCAATGCCCTCTTTTTCGTCAACAATTCCCTCACGCAACACCACCACCTCGCCCACACACATCCTATCCCATCCGTTCCCCTTCCACTTCGCCTGCTCAAGCTCTTCTAGCAACCACATCTTCCTCACCAGAACCTTGGCTGTTTGATAGTGGTGCAACTCATCACGTTACAACTGATCTTCAGAACCTTGCCATTCACAGTCCCTATGACGGTCCGGATGAAATCATGATTGGTGATGGCTCTGGCATTCCAATTACTCACACGGGTTCCACTTCTCTCACTACTCCTTCTCATTCCTTCACTCTATCTAATGTTCTCTGTGTTCCTACTATGAAACGCAATTTGATTTCCATTTCTCAATTCTGCAAAACTAATAATGTCTCTGTCGAATTCTTACCAAATTCTTTCCATGTGAAGGACATTCAAACGGGATCACTCCTCCTCCAAGGCCAACCTAAGAACGGTGTCTATGAGTGGCCCACCTCGTCCTCCTCATCACCGATTCTTACTTTCTCGTCAATAAAGACCACGCTACCTTCATGGCATCACAGGCTTGGTCACCCGTCCCTCCAAACGTTCAAACACATGGTCTCATCTTTGAGTCTGGATGTCTCTCGTCCATGTAAATTCGATTTTCATTGTAATTCTTGCTCTTGCAATAAAAGTCATAAATTGCCATTTTCAGCTTCCACTTTAGTCACTTCCTCTCCTCTTGAGATTGTCTTTACAGATGTTTGGACTTCCCCTGTTTACTCTATTGACAATTTCAAATATTATGTTATTTTTGTTGATCATTTTACAAAATATATATGGCTATATCCTCTTCAACGTAAATCTGATACTCGAGAAGTCTTCATTCACTTCAAGGCCTTAGTGGAAAACTTTTTCAACTGTCAAATCAAAACTCTTTATTCTGATAATGGTGGTGAATATCAGGCTCTCTCTTCTTTTTTCACAATTAAGGGTATCTCTCATCTCACCTCTCCTCCTCATACTCCCGAACACAATGGTTATTCCGAACGCCGTCATCGTCATATTGTTGAAACTGCACTTTCTCTCCTTGCTCACGCCTCTATGCCACTCTCTTATTGGTCCTTTGCTGTCAAAACTGCTGTTTATCTTATCAACCGTCTTCCTACGCCAACTCTCAACAATGCCTCACCATTTCTTAAACTATTCAACACCGTCCCCAACTACTCCAAACTTAGGAGCTTTGGATGTCTTTGCTATCCCTGGCTCCGCCCTTACAATACACATAAACTTCAACCTCGTTCCACTCCATGTCTCTTTGTTGGGTATTCCTCTACTCAAAGTGCGTATCTTTGCCTTGATACGTCCACTCAGCGTCTTTACGCCTCCCGTCATGTCCGCTTTGTAGAGTCTGTTTTTCCCTTTGCAACTTCTCATCTAAATGATCTTCGGGTCACTTCCTCCACTCAAACCGAGTGGTGCTCTCTAACCTTACCTCTAATACCTGCTGTACCCACCTCCCAAACATCTTCGTCTCACACTCCATCTACTTCATCAACCCTCAGTCCCACCTCTGCATCAGACCCATCTCACACCACTTCACCCGCACATCCCTCATCCTCTACCCCGGACTATACTCCTTCCCCTGAAAACCCACCTTTGTTACCATCTCCAGGTATCATTACTCGCTCCAAACACAACATCCACAAACCAATCCAAAAACTTAACCTCAACACTGAACTACAGCCTCTTGAACCCACTACTGTGTCTCAAGCGTTAAAAGACCCCAGGTGGCGACAGGCCATGTCAACTGAATTCGACGCCCTCATTCGTAATGGCACATGGGAACTAGTTCCATCTCATCCTACACAAAACGTGGTTGGATGCAAATGGATTTTTCGCACTAAATATCTATCTGACGGCTCTGTTGACAGGTACAAAGCACGTCTTGTTGCCAAAGGATTTCATCAACGCCCTGGGGTCGACTATTCTGAAACCTTCAGTCCGGTCATCAAACCGACCACAGTGCGTCTCGTTCTCAGCCTTGCTGTAAGTAAAGGATGGTCTCTTCGTCAACTGGATGTCAACAATGCCTTTCTCCAAGGCACACTTTCAGAGAATGTATTTATGTCTCAACCACCAGGTTTCCTTGATCATGACCATCCTCACCATGTCTGTAAGCTTCGCAAGGCTATCTACGGCCTCAAACAAGCTCCTCGTGCTTGGTATCATGAACTACGTCAATTTCTTCTCCAATCAGGTTTTCAAAACTCTGTCGCTGATGCTTCCTTGTTCATTTTCAACACTCAAGGTGTTGTTATGTACCTGCTTGTTTATGTGGACGACATCATTATCACTGGCAACACCAATCATGCCGTCCAAAACTTTGTTAAGCAACTTTCCAAGCGTTTCTCCTTAAAAGACCTTGGTGACCTTCATTATTTCCTGGGTGTTGAAGTACAATATCATGCTCACGGTTTGTTTCTCAATCAACGGCAGTACATTGTTGATCTGCTCCGGAAGACTAATATGATCGACGCCAAACCAGCAAATACACCTATGGCCACAAGTCCGCTCACTTTACTTACAGGCACCATTTTATCTGATCCTGCAGAATATCGCACCACTGTTGGGAGTCTTCAATATCTCTCCCTAACTCGCCCAGACAT